CGTTTCCCATCCTGGACGAACAGCTGATTTAGTTCCACATTTCTCTCATCATCGGTCATCACTACGCGTTCCACTCGGTCCATGCGCCACCGAGTAAGAGACCAGATACTACATTCGAGGCTGGCCAGATCTTTTCCGAGTCGCCATTTGTGCTGAGGAGGTGGTTGAACTCATCTTCCAGGAGTCAAATTGTTGCCCAGTAAGAGCTATTTTTCGCATAGACCTCCGTTTTTCACGGCTATGAAAGGGGCTGATAGAGGACGGCAGTATTTTCAAGTCTACGAGGTGACATGGAGAATGGAGGTTGCACATGGTGTTGACCTCAACCATCACATTTGATCAAACAGAACCGGAGACGACACTTCCTTGTGGAACAAAGCAAAAGTCTCACTTGGCCTTGTCACATATTTTTGCTCTTTCTCTAAACCATACATGCTGCCCAGCGAAAGCAAATCTAGTTGGTTCACTCACGTTTTATTTTATGGTAATGCCCACTCAAGCAGGCCATCAACTTGTTCGCTTGCCCAGACAGATTCAGCTTCGTGAGCGAGGCGGTTAGGCTGCCCTGGCTCCATCACAAGTTTCCTTGCGCTAGCCTACCGCACCATGACCTTATGGCTGAGACATTGGGGGAAGTTTGTGGACTGCTAATTATCCTTTGGAATGGCTTTCTCGAACATCCGGACCTCTGGACTCCCAGCATCGAGATTAGGGCCTCAATCAAGGAGGCACATCCCTCCATTTTGGCTCTTAACTCCTCGGCAAGACCTACTGTTCAAAATTCTCCTCACCCAGGCAGTTAGCTTCTCTGCCGCCATAACGACTTGTCTGCGTTCGCTTTACCCTGTCAGTTTGTCAGTCTGTATGTATGTGTGTGTACACTTGTGGATGAATCCTTATTTGACCTGCTTGTCAGCATGTAACTCCAATCCCCTTCATCCAAATGTCTTCACTTGTATCTGTTCGAATGTCTGTGAATTGGTTGGCCCATCTGTACTATTCTCTTGTTTATACGTCCATATTGGTGCCTTGTGTGTGTGTGTCGGATGTCTTTATCTCTTTATAAGTATTTATTAGTGTACACTCAATATTTTTATGATCCTGTGTGTTTGCAAGTGCATTTGCTGTCAAGTATTTTCGTGTCTATCTATGCATGAGTTGGTGCCTTTCTATATTTGTGTGTATATTCGTATGGGTTCTGTCATCTGCTGCATGTGTTGCTCACTCATGTGTGCCTTATTCGTTCGAGGTTAAATAAGACAGTGAGATGACGTTTGGCTGACTTGCAAATGAAGCCATTTTGCAACGTCAATCCATTCCTTCATTAATTTACTCATTTTTTGCCTCCAAACCTTTAAGACTTCCCTGCATTAGGCTCTTCATTCTTGTACCACAAGAGCTCAAGGTCAAACTAGACCCCAGAGGTGTGGCATTCTTGTGTCGGTCATCCACTCATACTCTTTGAGTGCACCGAACCAAGCCCGAGTCACCTCAGTCGCACCTGTACCTCTTCGTCTCGTCTGCACTCGCCATAGCCAGACGCACAGCCCCGCCGGGCCCGTCTGCCTTGGCCTTTTCGGCTGACTCAACAGCCGCGTTTCGAGTCGGTTGGGTCAATTGAACGAGGTTTATGTCGTGGCGTACACGAGGGCTTTCCCAGGCTGCTCAACCTCGCACTCAACCCCCTCGGGAGGCTCTCTTCTACGAGGTGGTACGGCTCGGGGGCCTGTTTCGCGGGTCGCAATGCCGACATTGTGTCCTCAAGAGGTCACAGTCTGCACCGCGCCAGGCCTAATTCTGTACTTTAGGCCAGCACCTCG